GTTTCTTCCCAGGATACTGGACGTTCTCTTTCTATGGCCTCTGGCGGCGGGGAACGGTTCCGCCAATGGGGGGGGCCTCCCGGCCTCTCGGGCGCGTCCTTGGGCATCCGGGGCCGGGGCCAAAAACCGGGGGGTAAATGGGGTCCAGGGAACCCTGAGATCCTGAATCTCCCTACGCGGTCTGGAGATCCCAAAGTCCCGCCGAAGGTCCCGTTCCTCGGAATCTGGAGTCCAGGGCGAAATCCAGGCTACGGCTTGGAAGGTCCTGAGGATCCGAAATCGGGAATTGGGTCCGGGGAATCTGGGGCATCCGGCGATCCGCGGCTCCGAGTCACGTGGGAGATCCCGTCGGACCCCGTCCGCCGCTCGGACTCCGCTGGGAAGCGTCCGCCGCCGCGCTCTCCTGCCCTCACTTGTAGGCCGGGCCCAGCCCTTCCCGGCGACCAGGAAAGCTCCACCCTCGGCCTGGGGCAGCACGGCTCCTAGCAGCCCGGGACTCGCCTCTCCCCTCCCTCCTCTCCAGCGAGAACTTCTGAGTCCCGCCACTTCCGGAACAGCCTGTGCCACTGTCTATGCCAACCACGGGACTGCTCACCACAGGAGCTCGGACGGTGTGCGCGGCCAGGGCTGGGGAAGAGGTGTGAATTGCAGGCCCTGCCCCGCACGGATCTGTGCAACGAATGGATCTCCAGAGCCTGCAGGCTGTGCTCCAGGGAAGGACTCCACCTGCCAGGAGGCCATCAGCCCTAGCGTGGGGCTCGGCACCTGAGCCCCCTCTTGCCAGGAGGCTGCTTTTTTACCTCCACTTACTGCCACCACGGGATCTGAGAAGAGACCCCGCACCAGCATCTCTACCCACCTGGAGAAGAATCCCAGAACTCCAGCCCGTGGACTACAACAGCTTCCCATCTCCAAATTCCCAAGAATCCCTACCCTTTTAGTGTGAATTGGTGCGGCAGCGACCTGGTCTAAACCTCAATGGGCTCTGCAGTCAGGAACTGGGGACTTGCAGAGGTTGAGTAACACGTCCAAGATCGTTCGGTCACGTGACCCAGCAGGACGCACTCCCAGGGCTCCCTATCAGACTGCAGACAGCAGACGCTTCACTGCTCACTGCTCCGCCACGTTCTAGGCCAGTGATGGCGAACCTATGACACGCGTGTCAGAGGTGACACGCAAACTCATTTTTTGGTTGATTTTTCTTTGTTAAATGGCATTTAAATATACAAAATAAATATCCAAAATATACATCTTTGTTTTACTATGGTTGCAAATATCAAAAAATCTATATGGGACACGGCACCAGAGTTAGGGTTTTTCAATGCTGACACGCCGAGCTCAAAAGGTTCGCCCTCACTGTTCTAGAATGTGGCTGTGGCAAATCCACGGCTTGATAACTGCTAGCTCGGTGACTGCGTTTTCACCACCTGTGGCCCTGGGTTTGACCCTGAGTGTAAACCAGCCCGTGGTGGAACCCATGGAGAAGAAGCCAAGGATGAGGACTTGGTTTACAACCGGGGCTGGGGCGGGAAACAGACAACCTAGAAAGGACAGGCACGGGCGACAGAGAGGGTGAGGAAGCTGTGCAATTTCTACCACAAAACCACCCATTTGCAGGACCCACAGGGCCCAAGGGCGCTCAGTGAACGCTTGAGTCCCAAGTCCTTCCCTAAGTGTCCCCCGGGCCTTGGCTTGCACACCTCCAGCGAGGAGAGCCGTCCTGCTTTATGCGGCTGAGCCTCCCATCGTCTGACTGAAAGAAGTCTCCCCTGAATGGAGCTAAAACCTACGTCCCTACTCTGCCCTCTTGAGTTTTCCCCAGTCACTGGAAGCCAGGAAAGGGTTAAAATGATTTTATTTTAAAATGTGGACGGGGGAGCAGAGGCAGTTAGCAAGGGGGAGAAGGAGCCGAGCATCCGGAAGCTGCTCAGGAGAGATAAGAGTGCTGGTTGCCAGGATGCCTAGCGGAGCATGAGTCGAACCCTGCGGTAGGGATGGCCCACGCCAAGGCCTGAGGCCCAGTCAATGCCGTACTTGTGGGCAGTGGTGGGGGACGTTGCATAGGGTCCGTTGAGATTTGAATGATAGCAGCCTTCGTACCACCAGGCGCCGTGGACGGTCACCGCGCAGTTGCCCTCCGTTGTGTCGTGGTCAGCGTCGAAGGTGGAAAAGCGCTTCCCGTGGTGAAAGCTCAGGGAGTCCCCTGGCAGAGAGGGGATGGGAGGCACATTGGAGGCGGCACCGTGCCGGGCCCCCTGGGAGAGATGACCTCCCAGGAGCCTCAGAGCAACTGAGAGGTGGGTGTCATCAGGCCCCGAGAGAAAGCAGCACCAAGGAGCCAGTGTTTGCCCCAGGTTACTCAGCTAGTCGCAGGGGCACTGGACTTGAACTCAGGACTGTGGCTCCAAAGCCACCAGCTCCTCCCGCTGCCTTGTCCCCTCACAGAATCCCCAGCCTCCCTCCAGGGGGAGCTGGGAGGGACTTCTCAGATGGCTGGCAGGAACGGGGGCTCCCCTGAGGCAGACTTCCCTCTTTCAAGTCTCTCCTCAACAGTTGCTGCTTCTCTGAAAAAAAGCCTCCCCTGGTTCCTCTTCCAAGAAGATATCGCTAACACGCAACAGACCTTAGAGTCCCACGGCCTCCCTCCTGCCTCCTGGTCCATTTTACAGAGCAGCTAGCGAGGCTCTGACGTGGAAGGGACTCGCCCAGGCTCACACAATTAGTAAATGACAGAGGTGGATTCAAACCCAGGTCTGTTTGCCTCCAGAGCCCAAATCCTCTCCTCCTGTACCACCTGGCCTCCTGATTGCCATTTCTCAGAGGAGGACACTGAGGCCCACAGAGGAGAAGGGATTGTCCTGGGTCATCGTGGAGGCAGAGGCAGTGCTGGGCAAGTATCCAGCCTCCCTCACTTTTCCCCCTAACCCAGAGCCCCGCCTGAGGGTCGCTCACCGGCAGTGCCCTCTAAGAACTTGCCCAGCACCAGCTGGTAGTGATCCGACTCGCCAAGGAGGCGGAAGGACCCGTAGTGGGCAAAGGTGCGGTTGCCATCAAAGTCCTCCAGCTCCACTCGCAGCTCCCAGGTACCTAGGGTGGGGACAGGGAGGAGGAATCCTCAGGCCCCGATGCCAGAGGAATGCCCCTCAGGCTCCCTGGACCCTGCTGGGAACTTACCCTGGAGAGTCAGCTGGTGCAGGTTCTCATTCCCCAGCCAGAATTCGGACTCCTGGCTCCCAAAACCTGCTTTGTAGGAGGACCAAGAGCGGAAGAAATCCACGGAGCCATCCTGTCGCCTCTGGAACACCTAGGGAGGCAGAGCAGGCTGGCACACCAGCCACTCCTCCAGGCTGGACGTAGGCTGAGGAGAAGCAGCAAACACTCCGGACTCTTTGGATTGGGGCTTGTTGATAAAGTGTGAGTCCAACTGAGCTTTGCCTGTGCGTATATCGACGGACTCTACATCCTCTTATTAACTGTTAGTGCCAGTCACCTAGTTAGTGACACTCAACTTCACACCAGAGCCTTGCAAGCCCTGGGGGAAACGGAAATGATAGAATCCTCATTTCTGGTTTCCTGAGATGGTCAGTCCTGCTGGGAGCCAGATTCAAAATAACTTGCTTGAATTCACTATGATAAGAACCAAGATATTATACCGGAGAGGTCACCCCCGGAGGCCCACGCTGGACTCCTGACCTCACCCCGATTGTCCCCGTCAAGCCAAGCAGTCCCCAGCCTCTGTAGAGTTTCCCTCCTCAGTATCTTTCAGTCCAAGTGCCTCTACTTCCGTTGTTGCCACCACCCACTGTCTTCTCCTGCCCGGGCCTCTGACATCATCTTAACCTGTGCCCCTGTCTCCACTCTTTTTTTAAAAAAATACATTTTATTGATTTTTTACAGAGAGGAAGGGAGAAGGATAGAGAATTAGAAACATCGATGAGAGAGAAACATCGATCAGCTGCCTCCTGCACACTCCCCACTGGGGATGTGCCTGCAACCAAAGTACATGCCCTTGACCAGAATCGAACCTGGGACCCTTCAATCCGCAAGCAGACGCTCTATCCACTGAGCCAAACCGGTCAGGGCCCTGTCTCCACTCTTGTCCCCCACTGCACAATGCACCTTCCATGCTGCCATCTTTCTAAAGCATAAGCCTGACCTGGCAAATCCCTGCTTAAAAGTCTCCCGTGGCTCCAGTTACCCCCACGATCCTTAGTCATTCAGGGCCCTCCACGAACTGGCCTCTGACCCGCACCAGAAGACCTCAGCCAACCACTCACCCCTGCTCTCAGCTCATCCACCTGGTCCCCAAACCCTCCTGCACTGTCCTGTCTTTCTACCTGGGATGCCCTTCTGCACCTCATCTGTTTTGAGAACTTCTATACAGCTTTCAAGGCCCTGTCAAATGTCACCTTGTCTGTGAAGCCTTCTCTGACTTCAGGTCCCCTGGGAGCACCGTCAACTTTTGTCAATGAATTACTCTAAGAAATGCCCTGTCTCCAGTGGGCTCTGACTCCCCCTAGGGGACAAGGGGCAGAATTGCCCACTGGGCCTGGCCTGTGAGTCTCTGACACTCACCAGCCAACCACCTCCCAGGGTGTCCA